GTGAATACAGTGGATAAGAATAGGGTGCGCTCTTCCAAGAGAACAGTCTTAACACTGCTTTGTGTAAGCAAGATGTAATTCTTCTGCTCTGTGCATCATTGATTAGGTCTCAACTAGAGTATTGTATCCAGTTCTGGGTGCCACATTTTAGGAAAGGTTCTTCTCTAGACCTTCTCTAAACAATGATGGAAAGTCTAGAAAACAGACCTATGAGGGAAGATAGGTCCTCTCATCTCTTCCACATGAGACCCAATTTTCTAACAGTTTCCAATACCTGAAAGGCTGTTACACAGAGGGAGAAGAATATTCTGGAACATCTGGTTAAGATAAGAAGCAACAGGCTTAAATTGAAACAAGGGAGGCTTGGGTTGGACTTGAGGAAAAAGTTCCTATCAGAGTGGTTAAGCACTGGAATAAATTGCTAAGGGAGGCTGTGGAATCTCCATTGGAGGATTAAGAGCAGATAAGACAAACGCCTGTCAGGGATGGTCTAGATCAGCAATGGCCAGCCAAAACTAGTGGGTGGGCCAGGTGTGTGGGCCTTGTTTCAGTGGGCTGCATGATTGCAGTGGTGGGCAATCTGCAGTCCACTGGGGTTCCACCTGCAGCCTATGTACCGCTTCCCTGCTACTTCCTCCATATGCAAGGCTCTAGTGTGTGGGAGGCACTTCCTACTCCACCCCCTCCCTCCCAGCACTATTGGAGCACCAGGAATCTGCTGCTTTACACTTTGTTCCTGCTTCTCCCCCTTCCTTCCAGAACGCTAACAGCCATGAACATCAGATTCCTGGCATTCAAGTTATTTGAGGGAGGGGAGAGAACAGGGAACTGAGTGAAAAATGGTGGATTTCTGGCACTCCAAATGCTGGAACAGGGAAGAGTAGGAAGTGGAGGCTCCCAGTATCTAGTGCAGGGGTCGGCTTATGGCATGCAAGTCTATTTCCTGCATGTCCCGAAGGGTGCTCAGCCCCACCTCTCCTTCCCCATGCAGCTGCTGGAGAGCACTCCCTCCTCACTACAGCAAGTTAGGCTGCAGTGGGAGAAGGCGGGGCTGGGGCTGAGGCTGCTCAGCAGCACTTTGGCTGCAACTGGAGGCACTGCAGCAGGCCCCGGAAGCACTGCTGATACAGCCAGGTGGTCTAGGGCTGGCCCCAGAGGCTGAAGGCACCACTGCTGTGGGCATGCAGTCTGGGGCTGGCCCTAGAGATGGTGCTGCTGTAGTCACATGGTCCAGGGTCAATCTGGGACCACATGGTGGCGGCAGCAGCAGCACCTCCAGTCTCCAGAGCCAGCCCCAGACCATGTGGGCCATGGCAGTGGGGCTGTGGCTGTTGCTGCAAGGGGACACCAACCCAGGTAAGGGTCCCCATATGCCCAGACTCCCCACCTGAATCCCCTCATTGTCCTGTAGGATTGTAAGACTAGTCTATTAGTGATATGACTAATCACACTCCCCCTTCCACTTTTTGCTGCCTATTTCTGACTGGAGGGCCACTGGCAACACATGTGGCTGCCCTGCAAGTCAGCAGGGCCAGCTGGAGGTGAGAAGGTGGCCAGGAAGCTGGCAGCAGGGGCTCCAGAAATTTCTCCTGGTCTGGCAAAATCCCTCAGCCAGGACTGGTCAGGGACCGAGGTTGCTGGACTGGGGAGGTACAACTTGTCCTGCATTTGCTTTGGAATTTGTTTCCTGATATTCTGTTCACTTACTAGGGATGAGATGTGAAGTGTGGCTCTAAACATGAACATGTTGAATGGCCATAAAGAATGTAAACAGGGCTGCTGTAAAGCTTTGAAGAAATTGTGTTGTAAAAGTAGTTTTTGTAGCCTGTCAAAAGGTCTGTTGTGTAACTTTCAGACTTGTGGTATGGAGAGCAGTTCTTTTGAATTGGGTATAACTCTGCTTTCTCTTTTTTTTAAAAAAATAAATCCCCACAAAACAAACTACCAGTCCTATAGTGGTTTATGTGCACGAGTGCCTACTCAGCAGAATAGGTGTCATATTTAAAAGTAGGATCAACATAATAGGGAAATGTAACTTGAGCACAATCCTTTTGCTAACACTTTCTCTAGTACAGTACAGGTTCAGCCTCTAATCTGGGATTCCCTAGTCCAGCAATACTTTTGGTCTGGAATTGCTGGTGGCCTAATGGGTGCTCTGAAGTTAGAGCACTCACAGGGGAAAAAATGGTGGTTTTGGGGCCAGGAGAGTAGCCAGCCCAGGCATCCTAGGGGCCATCAGCAGAACCTTAGCAGGCCAGGGAAGCAGAGCACAGGTAGTCACAAAGAGGGGCTGTGAGGGCCAATAAGGTCCCAAGAATGCTAGGGAGATTCAATCTGCACTCCTAAACTGAAAAAAATTAAACTGCCTAGTACCATAGTTCAGAATCTCAATCATTGTAGATGAAACAGGATACAATTAATTTTTTAAAGGTTTACAACTCCACTGTTTAATTTAAAACTTCATTTCCAAGATAGCTATACTTCCTGTAGTTATCAAACCTAATATCTGTTTTAGTGAGGACATAAGGTGTGGGATCTCCCCTTAAGATACTGTGATAAGCACAATTTGTCCTTGCAGACTTATGGAGTAAGTGAATACAGGTCAATTGCCTCTTGTCTGGCACCCTAGGGACCTGACTGATGAGGAATCAGAGAATTTGCCAAACCACTGGATCAATATTGTCTAGCAGTACTACCAACACTTTCACTGCTTATAGGGTTCTTAGATGACATTAGGGGTAAATTAGAGCTAAATAAAAGCACAGATTACTAAAAGCCAGGGCTGTTGTCTGTCATCAAACTTTACTGGACTGTGGGACACTTGGCCACACCCATAGTAAGTGGACTTCTGGCTAACTAAAATAATGCTGAACCATGGGGCTGTGTTTACACTGGAATGATTTTGCGCAAATACTTTTAACGGAAAAGTTTTTCCGTTAAAAGTATTTGTACAAGAGAGCATCTATACTGGCATGTGCTTTTGCACAAAAGATTTGCTTTTGCACAAAAGCATCCGTGCCAGTGTAGACGCTGTCTTGCGCAAGAAAGCTCCGATGGCCATTTTAGCTATTGGGCTTTCTTGTGTAAGAAATTGATGTTACCTGTCTACACTGGCCTCTTGCGCAAGAACACTTGTGCAAAAGGATTTATCCCTGAGCAGGAGCATCAGAGTATTTGCAAAAGAAGCACTGATTTCATACAGTAGAACATCAGTTTTCTTGCACAAATCCTCGCAGCCAGTGTAGACAGGCGGCAAGATTTTGCGCAAAAGCAGCTGCTTTTTGCGCAAAATCTTGCCAATGTAGAGACAGCTTGGATGTTGCCAGACAAGAGAATGCTGGATTAGAGAGGTTCAAATTGTAGTTAGATAAGCAGTAGTTAGTCACTTCTATTTTAGCTGCATATTTTGAGGATATGTCAATATATGATAAAGCTTGGAACAAAGAATACAGAGCTTATAAAAGTTTATATAAATGTAAATTAAATGCTTCAGTACCATAATTATGCATTATGCCAGGGCTACTCAACTTTGGAAGCCCTGGGGGCCACAGTGATACTCATAGCAGTTGCTGAGGGCTGAAACTTAAGTGTGGTTGCATGTATATGCATATGTATGCAAATAGCTTCTTTCACGCTGATGGGCATGAATACAAAGATAAAGGCAAAACTATATAAAACGCAGGCCCCATTTTAAGTCAATTCTGCTGATATTAATAAAATGCAATATTTACCTGATTTCCACTCATATGACAGCACTTTTAATGAGCAATACAGGCAGTCCCCGGGTTATGTACAAGATAGGGACTGTAGGTTTGTTCTTTTTAGTTTCAATATTTGCTGCAGGTGATTTGAGCCGCATTCGGTCAGTGAGGCTCCGTCTAGACTCTGGGGTTTTCGCAGGATGCCAGAGGTATCACTGACCAGCTGCTGACTACAGGAAGCATGGGGACCAACCCGGCAGCAACCCAGCTGCTGTACC